TGTCCCCCAGTCCTGCAATGTCCCCCAGCCCCACGAAGCCCCCCAGCCCCTGCGGCACCCCCAGTACCTGCCATACAGAACCGGCAGCTCCTCCCGAAGGTCCCTGTTCAGGTCTTCAAACACCGCTTGGGCTTTATTAAACTCCTCCTCAGCCTGCGGGGAGGAAAGGGGGGCCGTGGCTTTGCCGGCACGGCCGGAGAATGGGGGGGCTGCGCCCGGTGGGGGTCCCGTGGGAGGCTCGACCTTGGCGATTTTCGCCTCGTCCTTTTTCTTGGCGCTTTGCAGAGCTTCCAGGTGATGCCGGGCGCTGTCGTAGTCCACCAGCTTACGGCCCCGCTTGGCGATGCGCTCCTGCGTGGGGGGCAAGGTGAGCCAGGATCCGGCCCTTTGGCCCCCCCCGCCCCGACACTGCGCACGAGGGGTACCTTAAAGTCCCCAAACTGAGCCAGGTAGTTCTCCATCAGCCGCAGAGCTTGGTCGGCCAGCTTCGCCTCGTAGTCGTCCCACAGGAGGTCATTGCTCTGCAGCGTGGAAGAAGCAGGGACGGGGGTATAATGCCCGGAATTCCCCCCCCCCCAACTCTCCCTCGGTCCGTACGTGCTGGGCTGCATCCCCCGGGACCCCCCTCCCAGCTCAGTTCGCGACCCCCCCGATGCTCAAAGGGGACCCTTGGGGACAGCGGGGACATGTCAAGGGGCTCACAGCTGCGATGGATTTCAGCTCCTCGTGACCGTCCCAGTCGGTGCTGTAAATCTCCTGCAGCGTTTCAGCCACTTTCCGGGAGCTCTCGTGCATCACTGCCGCCCAGCCAGGGGATGCAAATATATTATTTATGATGTTTTTATTTAATAATTTTTATTATGTATTATTACTTATTATAGTTTGTATTTATTATTATTTATTACTAATTATTATTTATTATTATTATTGTTATTGTTTTTATTATTATTTATTATCCTGGGCAAGAAAATGCAGCGATGCTCAACCCCCTCCTGGCTCCTCCGTGGTGCCCATAGGGTTTTCCTGGCATATTTATGGGGACGGGGTGCCGTACCTTTCACCGCGCCAAGGAAAGCCTTCAGGTCTTTGTAGAGTTTATTGCCTTCGTTCTGCAAAGCAGCACAGCGAAGGGACAGGTCAGGGCTGTCCCTGAGGGCTTGTGGTGATTTCCACAAGCCCAACGGGGACAGAGGGACCCCGGGAGGCAGTGGGACCAAGGGATGGTGTAGGGTTGTCCCCGTCCCCCCTTTCCCTGCTCCCTGGTGCAACCTGCTGCAGCTGGAAGTTGTACGCGCTTTGCTCAAACTGCTCGTCTTTGGTTTCCACTGTTTTGCCCAATTTCTGCAAAACCTGGGATGGAGAGAGATGGAGATGTGGGAAGAACTGTCAGCTCCGACCTCGGCACTGCCCACCGGGCTCTAGCTCCTGGCAGGAGTGGGGTCAGCACCGGCGAAAACCCCTTTTGGGGAATGCTGAGGATCCAGCAGAGCTGATGCCAAGCAGGGATTTGGATGGGGAATGCAAAATTTTGGTGCTTTTATTTTTTAGAGGAAAACGGTGACTTTTTGGGTGCTAACCCATCACCCCACCCTATAAAACCCTGTAGGTACAGCCCTATGTACCCCAAAACACCCATGCACGTGACTATGGGTGCAGGTGAAGCCTTGGGTGCTGCCTCGGTGACACCGTACCGAGGATGAGGATGGTCTGTGGCCGAAGGCTGCCTCTGGACCCACCATCGCAGGAGCGTGGTAAGGCCGGGTGGGAGGGAGCTTTGGGGTGTCCAGGAAGAGGTTGACCCCCCCGGGAAGCGGCTGGAGCCTGGCCCGGGCTGATACAGTCACGGGGGAGCTGAATTTAGCACCGAGCCCCAGCCAGGAAACCCAGGAGCGGGTGGGTTTGGTGCGGGGGGCGGCTTCGCATCGCCCCCAAAATGGGAGTCGCTGCCTGCTTTTTTTTGGGGAGAGAAAGGGAAAGACGTGACCCTGAACCTTCCCAAAACAGCTGAGAATTACCCCATTTCTGCCTGCTTCCGGAGCCCTTCCCCCTCGTTTCCTGCGTGGCCAGTGCCAGCTACACCAGTATTCCTGGGACCATCCCCATGCTGGGTTCTGCTGGGGACCGTCACCTCCGGCCAGCCCAAGGGACCCCATGCCAGAAGCTCACAGTGCCCCCGTAACCTCCGGAAGGCACTTTGGGTGGAAAAATCACACTTTTAGAGAACCCAGCAGCTGCCAAAGGAGCCTGGGGGGTCTTTGGGGAGATGCCATCAAGCCCAAAGCCTTGGAGCAACGACGACGTCGACCCAGAAGCGCCCAAACTAACACCCTATGAGCACCCATGGGTGCCAAGCGGTTGTGCCACCCCCGCCCCCTCAGTGCCGCAGTGGAAAAAATTTAAAGAGTAAAATCAAATCAAGGGATTTTGGGGGGGGGCTGGGCGTCGCGGGCGGGCGTCGCGCCGTACCTTCTCCTGCGCCCGGCTGAACCGTTTCTGGACTTGCTTGGCGAAGAGCCCGGCTCCCCCGCTCTTGCCCTCTGCCATGGCTGCAGCTCGGTTCCTGCTCGCAGCCGCGCGCTGCGGTTTGATGTTTTGCTACGGAGGAAGTTCGAGGCGAGGCAGCTGCCGGCATCCGCCGAACACCCAGGCACCCTCCGCCCGTGTTACCCCCCCCCCCCCCGGAAGGGCCCCCCCGTCCCCCCCAGCGC